GAAATCTTTTCTGAATCTACTTTGGATTTCAAGAGATTTGTCTGTATTGGGGTTTGAACATCATAGACCTGACACCTGGATTATGTGCATTGTATTCAGAGATCTTAATTACTACAAATTATATGGAACCAAGATACTGACCAATTATTATACATCAATATCTGATGAAATCTGTGAGAGAAATATCTTTATTTTAAAGCTCAAAGAAGGGTTTTTTTAAAAAAAAGTATGGTATTTTAAATCAGCCACAGACTATACTGTTTTAACTATATTGTTTGGTTTTTATTTAGGCATTCATTGCAAAATAATGTTAAACTAAGAACAAAATCCTGCATTTTGTCTGCTGTCCTCTTCAAGGTAATTAATATATGTATTAAAATTAGACATTATCTAGTAATCAGTAGATAAACTTTTGTTATTGAACTGCAAATAGAGAATTATGCTGTGATACAGTGAATGTGGATGTATACAGATAGATGTTGATATGCTTGGGACTATTTATTGTAAGTCTACCTAAATTTATTTATTATGGAAAAGCAGGAAAATACTTTGCTATCAAATAATATTAACTGGTAACCAGCATGGAGCTACATTACAGATAAAGCAGTTATTATCATAATTCTTATCCAAATATCTCTTAAGCAATATGCTGTTGTTTGTATATGCAAAGTCAATAGATAGACCAATTGAAGGAATCAACCATTATTCTCTATTACAGAAGAAAGGAATGTAGAATACTTTCACAAACAAATATTGGTGCTCTCAAAGCTGATAATACGGATCACTTGCTTAGTACTTCGCTTTGTTGTGCAGTATATACTTTTCAGTCCACTGCAGGATTTAATCCATGGATCAGCAAGTAGTCTGTTGGGATTCCAGTGGTCGCTCCACAGGATATTGTGAAATGGGCAGGACTTATACATGTTCTGTGCAGATTCTTATACAGTAATACAGATGGTGATAAAAGTCAATAAAGTGGTAGTTGAAACTGGGCAGGTTACCAAGATATGGTCTTTAAGGGGTTCCAGAGAAATCTTACATTGATTGATGTTAAAATTTTTGACTATAGAACCTTCCTCAGGAGTTACTCATACAGAGAGTATGATCAGGTAGGTAAGTATATGTATATACTTAAAGTTTACTTACAGTATACTAACTGTATACTTACAGTTCAGCCTGTTTCTCTCATGAAAGATCAGGGATGCGGTTTCCATTTATAAGTGGCCTTGGTGGCTGGGAGCATCCATTTATGAGCTTTAAATGATACACTTTTCTGCCACCAGTTACACGTGCTCTGGTAATCTCATTGTTGGATTTCTACTATGTATATGGGGTTAACTTTGAAAAAGATATGGAAACTTTAGTTAGCCTGAAATACAGTTATGAAGTTATAAACTGGGACTGGCTGATATGATTATATGGTACTATTTTGCAGGGTATTAGCTCTCAGACTATTTCTGGGCCCAATTCAAGGTGTTGATGCTGATCTTTAAAAACCTGAATTACTTAGAGTTGGTATATCTGAAGGCACAATAATATTCTGTAGTTACCAACCTGGGGCGCTCTGGTCTTCCTTAAAGGCCTTTCCCTGAATGCCCTGCCAATTGAAGTTAATTGGATGGCTCCAAGGGAAGACCTTCACAGTTTTAGGGTCTTAACTTTTGGAATAGCCTTTCCAGAGAGCCAGCCTGCCTGCCTGCCTTTTTTCCTGCCTGCCTGCCTGACCTATTCCTAAATTGACATTTCTCTTCTAGTTATGTCTATAGTTAGGATTTTAAAAATAAAATTAAATGCCTATCTTAGCTTCTTTGGCAATAATTCTGCTTATCTTTGTTTTGATAATGAAGCTATCAATCTGATTACAATCTGTTTCAGTTTACCTTAAAATCAATAACTCCAGCATTCTCTGGTTACTTTCTTCCAGTATTCCTGCTTTTTCCACTTTCTTGATTATGTCTTTCCTACTAGCTAGTATCAGGTCACATGTAGCTGATCAGTTTATACCTTCCTCTGATCTTTGAAGGGGAAAGTTACCAGCAATAGGGATGTGCAAAGTGTTTGAAAAAGATGCTTTGTGAAGTGCATTAATGAGAGCAAAGCACCTCCTTTGGAAACTCTGAAGTAATTGGAAGATTTGTGCAGCAGCTTGGAAGTTCACACTGTTTGAGTGAATGTGGATGCCCAGCCATTTTGTTTTTCTGAAGATCCCAGGAGATGTTCCCAGGGCATGCATGTGCAGACAGCAAGATATAGTCTTTGTGGTAGCTGCACGAACCTCTCAAGGAATGTGATTGTTCCAACATTTTTGTGGAGGGGTGCTTTGTTCACACAAATGCACTTTGCAAAACACTTCTTTCAGATGCTTTGCACTGTCCTAGTAGAAATCTAATATATGTTTGAAACTAAATAGTTGTATTAACTGATTAGCCTTTGAAAACCTCTTTGATTTCATAGTTAGTTAATAAAAATAATTTATAATTGGAAAGTAAAGCAGTCTTATAAAGTGCCTTGGTTCCATGTATTGTAGGTTCAGTATTATATTCAGTTTCATCTAAGGCATTTGAAACGTTAGAAATTCATTAAATGTGTTTAAACTTATATAGAATTTAAACATTGTAATTATTCTAATTTCAGTCTTTGTTTAGAGCTTCACTACCACATCCTAAAGCTGATTGTGACTTTGCACAATATGAAACAGACATATTAATTCCTGGCGTTGATTTATTTGTGGATTACTATAGAGCTGATATTGCAACAGTTATAGCAAGTCTCAGTTTTGTTCTGCATGAATTGCATTGCAGAAGGCAAAATCTAATAGTAAGTATTATAAGGGATATGGTAACCATATAGTCAATAAATACAGCTATGCATCTTTTTTAGTTATGTACCTGATCCTACGGATGCTTACTTAGAACAGACCCACTTGTTACCAACTAAATATACAAACAAGATTATATGTATAAGCTGTAGACATAGTTTATAAATCATAAAGTTTGTAAGATTTGTCATATAAGACTATATTTTCTCTAATATGTTCTTGAACTGACTTTCTTGCCCATTCCCCTATCTGTATATAGTCTCAGCAGATCAGTCTGTCTGAGTTGGAAAGCTAAGCAGGGTTGGGCCTGTTTAATTCTTGGGTGGGAGGAAATATCAGGACTGTAGGCTAGACTGGGAAATTAAAAAAAAAAAAAACCAAGAAGAAAATAACAAATTGCTTTTGTATTGTTGCCAAGATGGACACGTCCATGAAGTCAGCAGGAACTGAGCTTCACTTAAAGGAGATTGTACTTTTTTAATATATAATATCACTAAAATATAGCCCAAACTATTAAAGACCAAATGTTCATCCATTCAGTGTTCCTCTTTATCCTATTTGATAAATAGACTTTTCACATACATATTTATATGTCATGTGAAGGAACTTCATGGAAAATATTGCTTTGTATTGCTAACTCAACATTTACAAAATTATATTTATAAAGTACAAATAAAAAGTTTATAATCAAAATTCTAAGCATATTAATTCAGAAGTTATTTGAGCTGTGTTCAATAACATGGAAAGCTGCCTTATGCCAAGTCACTGGTCTATTTAACTTAGTAATGAGACTCTCTAGGTTTTAGGCAGAGGTTTTTTCAGCTTTCACTTGCAAGTGATTAAACTTGGAATCTGCTGTATACAAACTTTTTTTTTTTTTAAACAACCAAGCTGGTCTATTGGGATTATTGCATTAAATATTATTTTGATGGAAGTATCTTCTCTGCCCCTTTGAAAATTCTGATCTGCTTTGCACATTAGCAAAATGCCTTGCTGAACAATCTGCACAGGCCCACTATTCATGTTTTGGATGCATATTGTTTTGAATTGTGCCATAAAAGGGGAAGAAAGTAATATGTACCTATAAATAAATATTTATAGCGTCTTATTTTTTTGCAGATTTTGCCATTGTTCACATTATACCAGTACTTTGTTTCTGAAATTTGTCGGAGTGAAATTAAATGCATTGAAGGAAGGATTCTCAAGGTAAATGTAATAAAAAAAGTTGAGCAACACTATTAAAAATAATTTAATGCAACTTGGTTATTAAATTCTGCTATTTCATGAGGCCATTAAGTTGTTGAACTAGAAAAAAGTTTGCTAAAGCCAAGAAATCCCCATATTATCTGTGGTTTCTGAATACTGTTCAATATTTGTTTTTCCCTTTTGGAAGAGTGCTAACACAAGATTCTGTATTCAGTGAGGGATGGAGAAAACAGTTCTCCAGACTTTCAGACTTTCAGCTTTTAGATCTGATGATTTTTTATGAGGACTTATGTTGCTATATTTTAGGAACAGATATTCAAACTGTCCTCCTTATCCCATTACTTTGACTTTTTTTTTTAATGTATGAATACATCTGTACATAAGTGTGAAGTATTCAGTTGTGGAGTCCTGGTGATTCATTGAGTATGGAATTGTGGACTTTTGTTCCGTTGCTGACTTTCCATACTTAAATTATCAGGAGATGTATTTTTATATCTATGCTTTTTTAAATTTTGACCATTTTGTGCATACTAAATGGAAAGATTATGTTGCTTTTGTTTATTTGTTGAACTTTAGTGTGTGCCGTCTGCACGTACTGTTGTTGATACTGAATTTTCAGACTCTATTATTTTAGCTTGTTTGTGGAGTGTTTCTGGCAGATAACTAATACAGAGTTGTACACTGTGCATTCATGCATTAGTAAGAGAAAAGGCTGCAAGAGCTAGCCAGAAAAATGTATTCTTTACTATTGTTGCTGATTGTAAGCGGTGCTGAACCTTTGCTGAGCTACAGCAGCTATCTGTGTAAGTAAACTGGAAAAAAGGATATACTTCTATTGTTGGCAAAAGGCTGTTACCTGGCTGTAGCAAGAAAATATTTTTTCCTTTATCTGCATATTCCTATAATACTTACTTTATAATACAGAAACTACATGAATTTTGAGCAAAATTTATAGTGATGAGGATGTAGGATATTGTCAGAGCTACCAGGTAGAGCTAAAATATATGTTGTTTTCAGAATGGAGCTCATCCATATGAAATGTGAATAGACAGTCTTCACATTTTGAATTGTAGGGGATTGTAGGGACTCCTTTATAATGTGGTGCTTTCCTCTAATAAACGGTTTTATCCCATTGCATTATGCATAACTGAACATGTAAAGATATGCTCTGAATTACTGTAATAGTGTGGTAGCTTCTCACATTTCTTTAATAACTTGGGAATAACAACATAGCATAACAAGATCACATTGAAATACTTGTTACAACTCTTTCTATACCAGCGTAATTTCTTCTGGGAATTGTCTATGAGAAGAAGCTGAATCACCACTAATTGTTTTAAGAGCAATTCCACAGCTAAGAAAATTAATCACATTATTGGCTGCACATGCCCAATGGAAGTTAGTGCAAGAAATAGCATTCAGTGTTACAGACATATATATATATGAATGTTAATTAGTTATCCTTTTTATTCTTAGATTAAAGTACTTACAGATTTGGGATTTTTCTCTGATGCCTTTCGTGAACTTTGTATTATTAATCGTGGAGAGAAAATTCCCTGGAAATTGCCTTCCATATACAAACATACTACAAAAATTGGGGTAAAGATATTTATTTTCTTCTCTTAGCCTAAAATGCCAGAAAATAAACTCTCCTCCATTTACTTTGTTGGGATACTTTGCCAGTGAGGGTTTATAGCACTTGGCTTGTTTTTTGTTGTCTTCATTTTTTAATGAAATAAAAGGTTATGCTTTCTTCTCTTTCTGAGACCATAAGCAACCTATTATCTACCATAACAATGAACATTTGGAAATTTAAAGCCGAAGAAACAATGTCATAGCAAAATGGAATATTAATATAGGTACAGAAAGGTGTATTTATTTATTTGATGAATTTGAATTGAAGTTAAAGCTATGTTCTGTCATAGTGTTATTATTTCAGTTTTCCAATCTTTCTTAGTATATAATCTATATTGTTATTCTTTACTAAATTTAGACCTCTTCAACTTTTGATTCATCACAAAACCTCTTGACAAATGGAAATCTACAGGTAAGAAAATATTATATCTGTAATGGGCTATGAGAACAAGCTTGGGAGACAGGAACTGGAGGAACCATAGCCTAGACAATAGTCAGACAAAAGATATGTCAGAAGGAATGGGGAAGTGGAAAGCATCTTAGAAGGGACCCTCCCTAGTTCTCTGGAAAGTAAAGGCACTACAGTAAAGGTAGTGTTAGTACTCATGGTTTTGGTTTCTTATCTGGATTACCTCGAAGGCCTGACATACCTAATTGACATGTTCTAAGGTAGTTGAGGAGAACATACCCTTTGTAGTAAGAATGTGATATAAATACTAGCCAGTTTGGGAGTAGATTTCCTCAGGTATAATGTTACCTGAAGCTTACATTTAAACATCTAAATTCAGTTCTACATCCAATGGAATCTAGTCTTTTTCACAATTGAAGAACCTCCTCAAAACAGAGATGATATCCTCTGTAATGCTGCAGAATGGCAGCAGTAAGATACAGCTTAATTCTGACAGTAACATTGCCTTTGTCTTGGCCAGACAGACTCATTGTTTCTTCAGACAACTATTACTAATCCTGTCATTTTGTATTGGTCATACGTGTTGCTTTGTGTGCTACCAACTTGTAACTCAAAAGCCGCCCTATGTAAATTGTAAAATAAGAGACTTTGTATTATTGCAGAGGTATTTGAGATAAACCCATGCATTATTTTACATGATAACCTGCTACTTCACAAGAAGTATCTCAGATTTACTGTTTTGTGCTAAAATGCAACTTCTGACTTGGGAGACTTCACAGAAAATGACATCTGAGGAATCTGTACATTTGTTGCAGTTAAACAAGTTCAGTATAATTTCAGTTTGGAATTTTTAACCCCTTTTTAATAACTGCCTGTATGTAATTAAAATACCTGGAAATTTAATACAGCACAAATTGTATTTACTGTTGTTATACTATAAGTGAATTCTGTATTTAACCAAGTTAATAACCAGTAATGTGCAACTGTTTGAACAACCACACATAAAATGTGTTCTTAAATCTTTTTTATAATCCAAGCGGGAAGAATAAAGTGGGCTCCCCCAGAGTTACATGTACCTAATGTTATTACAATTTTTTATAAATTATCTAGTATTTGGAATGGTTTGTTTATCAAATTGCAGCTCCTACCAGCTAGGTGAATGGGATAATACCTTAGAGACAAAAGTTACAATTCAAAATCATCTTGACAGATTTGAACTTTGGGACAAATCCAACAGGAAAATGTTCAGCTGTGAGAAGTGTTAAATCCTACATATGGATAAAAGAAATCAAGTGCATAGCTATAGGATAGCACAGCTTGGTGGCAGTGTGTGTGGGAAGGATGTAGGAGTATTCTGTCCAGTTCTGGGGACCACATTTTAAAAGTGATGTGAAGATGTTGGAACAGGCTGGAGAAGAGCTTTCAAGATCATCCATCCATCCATCCATCCATCCATCCATCCATCCATCCATCCATCCATCCATCATATTTATATAGCCACCCATCTCATAAAACGTGACTCTGGGCAGCATACAATAAAAAACAAGCCATAAAATAAGCAATATTAAAAAAAATTCTACAATTTAAAAAAAATCCATCAGTATTTATTATTAACAGATTAGCAGAAAGGATTCAATGTTATAGACAACACAGCCACCTCACTAGTTCACCATTACTTTGAGATCCCCAAGCCTGTTGACACAACCATGTTTTGAAGGACTTCCAGAAGGATGTCAAGGATGGGGCCAGTCTCACTTCAGGGAGAATAATGTTCCATAGGGAAGGTGTTATGGCAGAAAAGTCCCATCTCCTGGGTCCCGCCAGATGTAACCCCTTTGCAGATGGGACCCGCAGCATACCTCTTCTGCCAGACTTGATGGGATGTGCATATGTAATTGGGCAGAGGTGTTTCCTCAAATAACCTGGCCCCAGGCCATGAAAGGCTTTAAAAATCAAAACCAGCACCTCAAATTGGACCCAGAAGCAGAGTGGCAACCAATGCAGCTTCTGAAGCAGAGGTGTAACATGAGCCATTCTAGGGGTACACATAACCGCCCACGCCACTACATTTTCTACCAGCTGAAGCTTCTGGATACTCTTCAAAGACAGCCCCATGTAGAGTGCGTTGCAGTAGTCTACCTGGGAGGTGACCAGGCATGTGTGACTGTGAGGAGAGCCTCCTAACTCAGGAATGAGCACAAATGGTGCACAACATGAAGTTGTGCAAAGGCCCTCCTAGTTACGACTGCCACCTGCTCTTCAAGCAGGAGTTGTGAGTCCAGGAGGACCCCAGGTTGCATACCAGGTCTGTTTGGGACAGTGCAATCCCATCCAGTACAAAGATGGCTAGGTCCCTGAACAGGAGGGTCCCAAAACCCAGAGCCACTCAGGGTTCAGCTGAAGCCTGTTGTTCCCCATCTAGGCCCTCACAGCCTCTAGGCACTGGGATAGGGCATCAACAGTATTGCTTAGTTTGCCTGGGACAGAGAGGTATAATTGGGTATAATCAGCGTAATGATGATACTTCACCCCATGGCAACAGATGATCTCACCCAGTGGTTTCATGTAGATGTTGAATAGGAGTGGAGAGAGTACCAAACTCTGTGGAACCCCACATAGTAGGGCTGAGGGTGGGACTTCTACCCCCCAATCAGCACCAACTGGTACTGACCCCAGAGAAAGGAGGAGAACCAGCACAATACAGTGCCACCCACCCCTAATCCCAGGAGCTGGTTCAGAAGGATACTGTGGTCGATGGTATCGAAGGCCGCTGAGGTGAAGCAGGCCAAGGATGGATGCGCAACCTCCATCCCGCTCCTGCCAGAGATCATCTAAAAGTTTGACCAATGCTGTTTCTGCCCTATACCCAGGCCTGAATCCTGACTGAAAGAGGTCCAGATAATCCATTTCATCCAGTCCTCTGAAGCTGCTGCATGACCTTCTCTACCACTTTCTCCAAAAAGGGGAGGTTAGATACTGGATGAAAATTGTCCAGTATGGTGGGATCCAGTGATGGTTTCTTAAGGAGGGGGGGAACCAACACCCCCTTAAAGGGTGGAGGAACAACCTCACTCAAGGAGGAACTCACCACCACTAGAACCCACATACACAACACCCCATGGGCAGCTTTAGTTAGCCAGGAGGAGCATGGATCTAAAGAGCAGGTGGCAGAGCTCACAGTGATAAGGACCCTGTCCAGTTCCTCAGGCCCAACAGATTCAAACTGTTCCCAGATAACAGGGCCAGACACTGCTCCAGGCATCTCCCTGGGACCTGTAACAAGGCCAGCATCCAACTGAGAATGAATTCAAGCAACTTTATATAATAAGGGATCTGGAAACCTAGTCTTAATAGGACACTTTTGTGTTGGGCATATTAGCTTGCATAACAGAAGATATAATAATTGCCTACAAATATCTTTAAAAAGAAGGGATGGACTCTTCTTTATTGAAACTGGGAGCAGAACAAAGATCAATATATTGAAACTTTAAAAGAAGGAATATTTAGGCAGAATATCTTGACAATAAAAGCTGTTAAGCAATGAAATCCCCTTGCTAGAGGTTTTCAAATGGGCTGGATATGCTTAGTGGATTCCTTTACTGAGAAGGGTAGATGGCCTATAAGATTCTTTATAATTCATACATTGAACATTAGTTTAAGTCAATACTGATAGCAGTGGTTACCTTTCTGACTCTTTGGGTTTCAGCACAAATGAGTTTGATTTAGTTTCATATAAGGTTATATTTTAAATGGAAGAAGTAGATCTCATGTAAGGAAGATGAAAATTGTATGAAAACGTTTCATTTCCATATATGTTTGCTAGATTTCAATTTGGCCTCAAAGGTAATTTTCTTTTACTTACAAAAGTAGATATTATTTGCATATTCTTGAAAGGAAAATTGTTAGTCTTAAAATATGTTTTTTTTTAATTTACAAGGCATTAGAAGATGTATTTAACAGGCCTATACATTCAGCATGGACTGTAGCATGTGAACCAAGAATCATGGATAACTTTATGTTAGCTAAAATGCATTTTATAATTAGCCTATCTGCAACATTATATTGTGTTCCTGAAAATGTAATGAGGACAACATATTCTACTGACTCTGAAACATTAAGGAAGGCAGGAAGAAATACTGATGCATTCATAAAAGGTATTGGTAACAATAAGACAAACTAAAAGTTTTATTTTAATTTAGTATGGTATATGAATCTTAAAATATTTTGAAAATGGTTGTGCTTGCTTAATATAATATTCCCACTATTTGTTGCTCAAAGACATCTTGTTAGAGAGTAGGTATCCTTCAAAATGAAAGTCATCTAAATGTTATGCTTACATTTTTCCACATGTGATCAACTTTGCTTGAATGTGGTCTTTATCTTAAGATTCAAAAATTTTAGATGTTATAATTAAACCTGAACTTGAATTATCATCTCATTTCCTATTCCATTGTAGAATGCTTACTATTTCAGTGTCAGAACTACGATGTTCAAATCCCAACGAAGAAAAATCTCTTGAAACTCATAATAAGTTCAAAAAGAAATTCATTTATTGAGATGT